TGCCCCAAAGGATCAGGTGTCCCTTGGGCTATAGGTTTGCTAATTTAAAGCCCACATTTCATCATGTTTTTACCTAAGCTGCTTGCTCCTCTCATTTCCTTTCTGCCTTGGTTTCCAGGCTGTAGTTCAAGAGGGTCCCAGCGTGCTAGGATTTATGTGCAGCTCCTGGCTTCTGCAATAGTATGAGCCTGCCTTCAAGGTCATGACAGTTACAGGGAGACTGCACAACTCATCAGTGTAGGCTGAAAGTGCTGCCATTCCCTTTATTTGGGATTTTTCATTTATTTGCTCTCTACATCATATATGTTACTGTGACTGTGTTCACCCCATGCCATTCGGTTTTGCTCTTGGGTGGGGAGTTCAGTCTCTTTGCAGAGATCAGTGAGAGTTTGCCTGGTAGGAACCCAACAGAGAACCAGAAACGGAGCTTTCCTGTCTCGGAGGAGCAGGAAGGTGCCTTTCTCAGGGAGTTTGTCTCACCTCTTTGAGAGTTAGCATCCATATACCTTACCCACAGAAACACCTCGGAGATTTGTTCCTCTGGCAGGGAAAGCTGAGATGGATTTGCCCCATGTTTGCTGCATCAGGGCGACAATTTAGGTTCTCTGCAAAATGTCAGCAACTTGTATTTTGAGCCTGTTTCTCTCAATGCCATCTGAAATCAAAGCAAGAGTCTCTGTGACTCCCACAGGGTCTTGATCTGTGAATATTGTAGAATGTATCCCTGATGGGTAGTTGCATTTTGCCTTTGGGATCTTAATATGCTTGTTTGGGAAAAAATCCCTGGACATAGATGAAGACATTCTGAAAGAATAGCCAAGAATAGGGAAGGTGCTAGTTTGACTTGTAGTGACCTTTTTACTGGTACAATGTGCAGTGTGGTGACACTCCTTACACCCAGGGGAGCATTCACTCGATTGAATAGCTACAGTTACCACCATGCCTGTTCCTTTATTTATTATTTGCTTTGAAATGTCATGGCTTTTATTATGCAGAACTGAAGTTTGCAGCTGTAAAATCCCTGCCAGCATCTGTGCTCAGAAGAGCACATAGGACTTGGTACAGCCTCATAAAAGCAGGCTGGAATAAACCAATATAATATCCTAAACTCTCCTGTGAAAATTGCTCGATCAAAATGAAGGCGTCCACTAAATAGAAGATGGGAGATTTAATTAAGGCTCTGAATAGAATTACGAATCCAACTGCAGGTTTCTACATTTGGAAATTTCCGTCATAGAGCACCTCCATTCATCTCTCCTTACTTATTTTGAAGCACATTGTTAGAGGGCATAAATCTAATCTGACTCAAGGACTTTAAAGGTCTGTTTCTCATTTTAGATAAGAGTTTCTTGCATGATGATGGTTGCAGAGAGAGACTTTACACTGGGCATGAATTACACTCTCTTAAAAAAGCCAGTGTAAAGAGGCCTTAAAGAATATATGTATATAATGGTCAGCATCTTTTTTTGCAGCATTATTTTTCCTGGAAGGTAATAAAATTCCAGAATTGCAAGAGTTAACAGTAAAGAAATATGAGAAACTGTTTTTGTCAGTGCTCTGGAATAGGAGCTTTCTAGAGATACTGTCAAATGAAAATGAAGTTACTGAATTCATGCACAAGCCTGGCTGGAGGATGTGGTCAGAAAACATGTTCAGAAATGCAGGGTCAGATACAGATACACCTGGGAAGGATGTGGCCCGCGGTGCTTGAAATGCTCTCCAGGAATGCAGAGCAGAGACTTGAGGTGACTTGAGACAATTTCCCAGGACAGAGAAAAAAATATTCAGAATTTTAGCATACGGAAGATGTTACCACCCTCTGACTATTTTTCTGCCCTTTCAGATGCTATTAATGAAGTTAAAGTCCAAGTCAACAGGCCTTTAGGCCAAGTTATTCACTGGCATTTTTTTTTTCACCCAAGATCAGAATTCCTGTCTCAGTCAGCCCACAATGACCAAAATTCCTCCTGCCTTCTGTGTCTGTGAAAGGTTCCATATAAATTGCCTGTTCTTTTTTTATTGTTCTTACCACATTTTTCTGCTGGAGTAGGAACTTGGACATGGATTTCCCATCCCGAATGCACACAGGACCTTAGCGTACTGGGAGCCCATGCACACAGGCCACCAACGTGGTGGCTCTGCCGATGGTCGAGCTAGCAGTAATCTGGCTGCTCCATGCTGGTGGAGTAGCATTTTTCAGAGTGGCTTCCTTCTATGATCCACAAATGCTTGAGACGATTCCCCTTGCCATTATTTTAATGCTGCTTCTTTTCAAACCAAGGGCTCTTGGGCTGCAGGTGAGCTGTAATGCCTGAGGCCGGTGCTCCATCTTGTGCATGCTGGAAAACATAAACCAAGGGAATGTTTTGCCTAAATTTTGAGTAGGAAATGAAAACTGTTGTGTAAGCACCGCTCACAGTGGTTGTGGGATCTTTTTCATCCGTAAGTCTCTAGGGAGTTCCTTGATTTAAAAGAGTGAGAAAAGGTGTAGTAGAACAACCTTACTTTTGGATAGTATTACTTTCCAAAACAACAGTATTACTATCCTATGGCTACGCTGTAAGATCACATCTTGTTTTCTTAGTGCTACAAAGCAGCCCCAGTATCCATGATAATTACATTTATTGTCATAAAAACTTTTATTTGACTGGTATTCTTCCATAGGTGCTAGTGCTGTAAGGGATAATCTTGGTAAATGCGGTTGAATATTGCATTTCGATTTTCCTGCATCAAGGGGAGATTTTAGAGATGGCAGAAAATAAAAGTAAAGTGTCTGTTTGGATTCACGAAGAAACATAAGAAAAGTGTGTTTACAAAGGCAATGCGAGAAATACCTTCTAGAAAGGGAGGATCAGATTTAAGGAGACAGATCAGCTGTGGAGAGCTGCTGAAAAGAATGGAGCACGATTTAGGTGATGGGAGATGTTACTGCCACATGGCTGTCTGCACCTCCTCCAGCATTAGTGGTTGAGGAAGTCAAGGAGTGACTTAGTGTTTGGGCAGTTTTCCATCCACCTGAGGTCTCTGTGTGCTGGACAGAGAAACGTCGGTTCTCTTAATAGATTTAAAGTCAGAGGAATCATTAAACATCTAGTCTCGATTGGTCTGTGACAGGCTGTGCAGCTGCCTGTTACCATAGCCCAGGAGCCAGATCACGACTTGAAGACATCCAGAGATGGAGTGTTCCCTGTTCCCTCTGTCCCGGGTGTTTGATCACTGGTCCCAGGTGTTAGAAACGAATGCCTCATTTCTCATACAAAGAGAAGGTTTCTACCTTCTACCAGCTTCACTGTGGACTTCCCAGGTCATTCGATCTCCTTAATATATCATTAGCAACTCTGCAAACTGCTCTACATCAGCAAGCCCTTCTGCCCATGCAGTTAAATCAGTGAGTCTAGATGGGATGTTAATTTGTTAGCAATTCTTAATTCTGTGTGGTCTGTTCATACAGAAATGTATGAATATACATGAATATGGTGTATTGAAGGTAATACCCTTAGGTGCTTTCTGTAAAGTGGAAAGAAATTCAGAATTCGACTTCAGCAAGGCTTTTGACATTGTCCCTCACGGCATCCTCTTGGGCAAGCTCCAGAAGTGTGGCTTACGTGAGTGGACTGTGAGGTGGATTGAGAACTGGCTGGATGGCAGAGCTCAGGGGGTTGTGATCAGTAGCACAGTCTACTTGGAGGCCTGTAGTTAGGGGTGTCCCCCAGGGGTCAGTCCTTGGTCCAGTCCTGTTCAATTTATTTATCAATGACCTGGATGAAGGGACGATTGCCCCTCAGCAAGTTTGCTGATGATTCCAAACTGGGAGAAGTAGCTGATACCTTAGAGGGCAGTGCTGCCATCCAGAGGGACCTGGACAAACTGGGCAACAGGGCAGTGAGAAACCTCATGAAGTTCAACAAGGGAAGGAGCAAGGTCCTGCACCTGAGGAGGAATAACCCCAGACACCAGTACAGGCTGGGGACTGACCTTCTGGAGAGCAGCTCTGCAGAGAAGGACCTGGGTGTCATGGTGGACAACAAGTTGACCATGAGGCAGCAGTGTGCCCTCATGGCCAAGAAGGCCAATGGGATCCTGGGGTGCATTAAGAAGAGCCTGTGAAGGAAGGAGTTAGTACTATGTGCCCCAATATGTCAAGTGAAAGAAGGCACTGAAAGGTTCCACACATTTCTCACTTAGTTCTTTTGAGTTCTGAAATAGTGAACTTTCAAGCTTACTCACGCTCATCAAGAAATTTCTTACCCAGAAGATTATTATTAGCTCTAATGACTGTTTTCTTTGTATTTGCACTCTCCAGATGTGAAACATGTTTTGATTTGTTTTCTAAATATGAAAGTACTTTCATTTATGATGCCCAGCAGGGAGACAGCTGATTAACTTCAAGTTTGTAGGTGGAATTCATTTTTCATTCTGAAACAGATTACAAACACCAGTGGAATAAAAAATGATCTGCCTATAGCTCTTTAAAAAGTTCCTAAGCATTTATTCACATTGAGGGTGACAGAGTGCTGGAACAGGCTGCCCAGAGAGGTTGTGGAGTCTCCTTCTCTGGAGATCTTCAAAACCCGCTTGGACGCAGTCCTGTGCCACGTGCTCTAGGTGACCCTGCGTGTGCAGGGGGGTTGGACTAGATGACCTGTGGAGGTCCCTTCCAACCTTGAGCGTTCTATGATTCTATGATTCTGTGATTCTTGCCTTCAGATGTTCACAACTAACAAACTCCTTTGATACTCTCAAAGCCTTTGGACTCTGTAGGTGTGCTGAAGGCCAGAGGTCTGTGACTTAGCATGGAAAGTGCTGCCTGTGACCTTATACCTTTGCTTTTCAGATTTGGTCGTAACCCTCCATCTCTCCAGTGCCCTTCCATCAAGCAGTCTCAGAAAGCCCTACTTCAATCTCATGCCACGTGTCCTAGCACGTATGGGACCAACTTACACCCAGAGCGTTAGCAGTCACGCATTTCCTCATGGCCTCTCCTTTGCATGTTTCCCCAGGTCGTTGCACTGTCGTCATGGAGTCTCTTGAGAGATTCAATCTACTATACACTGTCCGTCATTGCACTCATCGTGGTAAGTTTTTGAAGGTTGCTATACGTGTTACTCCTCCATAGGAGCCCGTGAGTCTGTTGCAGCCTCAGAAGATGGTCTGTAAAGAAAGTGTAGTCTGGTGGCCATGGTTCTAGCTCCAGGAGTCATGTGCAGATGTATTTGTTATCTCCCTGGTTCTATCAAAGAGCTTGACCCAAGAGTTTGCAATGGAGGAAGGTCCTGAGAGCCTGTAGCAGGGACAGAGTACAGAGCTAAATCCCACTTCCAGCTCTGACATGAACATGCAGTTCTGTCTTCTCCATGCAACGACTCTTCCTGTTTTCTACTGGCCCTGCTTCCCAGAAAAGTCCTACGTACCAACATGGAAGCGTCATTTGTACCCAGAAGAAAGAGATCCTCAACAGCTACAAAGCATTATAGCGTAGTAGATATGTCCCCACATATTTGTGTGCTTATTCAGTGCACACCAACAGCAAATCATCTTGTGACGTTAACACATCTTGTGAAGTTAACAGTTTCAATAATTCTCAGTGCTGCTCCTAATCCACCTTTCAACAAGCTCCATAAGTGCTCTGCATATCCTCAAATCAGTGAAGAAAAGTTATCAGGAGTGCTTAAGACCTGCCCATCTGCTTAGCATAACTTTTGCAGCCAATATAAAGCAAAGTCAGCAAATGCAAAACCTGAGTTTCCTGGTATCAGGTACTGTCTTGCATGACTTTTTTTCCTTGGACATGAAGTCCCTAGATTCCCCAGAAGAACGATGATTTTATGGGTTTAGCCTTCATTTGTGAGCAAGAAGATAACTTTATAGTCAGAAATGAGTGCTTGTGTTTCTAAACACACGATTTCAACCGTGTGTGTTGTTTCGCTCTCTCTCTGCGGATGCCTCTATACCATGCACATATTGTGTAGGTACAGGTGCCTGTCCTTGAAATCTCCAAGGGTTTGCCTTGGCTTGTTTGTACTTCTATTTCCTGCCCTGCCAGGTCAGCCTTTTAGCATCTTCTGAAAAATAGCTCATTTCCAGTCTAATTCATGCATGAATGCCGCCACCAGAATAAAAGCTGCATAATTATTAGCAATGAGCTATGAAACAAAAAAAAAATGTTTTTTTTTTCTTGATAGCTCGACAGCAGCATCATACCCAAAAGTGTGTTCCTAAACAATAAACCCAGCTACTCTTCCAAATTGAAATAAGCTGCATAGTATGAGCATAAAGACACATATTCAAGCCAGCAGTATACATCCTCTTGGTGTGCTCCAAGGGAAGCACACATATGGGCAGCTACCTGGCATTTAACCTCTTTTTTTCTGGATTGGCTGTTTCATTTATTGCCCGGTGGCAAGCAAATTAAAGATCTTGTTGACCTTGCCATTGGATTGGCCATCCTTCAAGCAAGGCAGCGTTTTCCATGGCCAATTCATCCTTGTGTAGTCAGCGGCTTTCATTCTCACCTTCCTGTGCCCAGCACACCACTGAAACTCCTAGCTACCTATCGTGTGTAGCTACAGTTCATAGTGCTCATTGAATTGACATCTTTGTCATTCCAGAGAAAGCTCTGGTCTCCTGTACTTTGTTTCTGTGTAAGCTCTTCCTCAAGGTTATAGAACTTCAACAGTCCTTTTGCTTTGGGACTGCAGCCCATCATACCAGGATACTGCAATTTGTTTTCCTAAGCCTTGGCTCCCATATGGGTTGCACTCCATAGCAGTTTTGTCTTGCCTACTCATAAATATGCACATGAGGAAATAAATGCACTCCTTCCAGTGCTGAGTATTTTGAGATTATGGATTCAATGACTTAAAAAACTCCTTGATATTCTGCTTTGCCTCCTTCCATTTCTACCAGGAAAGGAATTGCATAGAAAATAGAGAAGCAGAAGACTCACCTGTTGGGTACTACTGGCCAGGTGATGAGATGGGTTGAACTCTGAATCATAGAGGCTATAAACAGATTAGCTCTGTTTATCACATATACCTCACCTTGATTTGATGTTATAATATTTTTGTCCTGAAAATAATGTTGCAAAGATGCCCTGTCACCCATTAAAGCTTGTCAAAACTTGTTCTTATTTCTTATTCCTCTTGCAAGGAAAAAGACATCCGTGTTTCTTAACTTGGAGGGACATGGTCAAAGTCATTAGTGAAGACAGTGGGACTGGTGCTATTTCTGATCACAAAGGTCACTGCGCGTGTTTTTGTGTCCTACCACACCAACGCATTGCAGCCCAAAATAGTCATTGTCAGAAGAAATTATGGTGACTGGAGCCGTCTTAGAACATGCATAATGTTCTGTAGTCGTGTTTTCTTCCAGCAATGGATATAATGACTGTTCGGTGCTTGCTACCAAACAAGAGTTGCTATTTGCAAGCTGTATAGCTTAAGGGAAGTATTGTGCTGTGCTTTCAAAACGTCATCTGCTTTCCCTTCTTTGGTGCTGCTTCCATGAAGGTGCTCTCCTAATGCAATCCTAATGTTTGCATCTCTTCATCCAGCACTGAGTTCAAACCACATACAGATGCTTTAGAAGGACTAAACGGAAAGTAACTCCCTCAGGAAAAAGAAATGCTGGGCAGAGTGGCTTTGTAGGCCATGAAGCTGTAGGGCTGCTATGTGCATGACGGTGGTGCAGACCCCTCAGAGAGGCACAGCTTGGCCATGATGAAGTATAGGCCTACCTACCTATTACTCGGCTACGATGAAGTGTTAGCCGCCCCATCTACAACTCAGCCATGATGAAGCATTGTCCCCCATCTACAACCCAGCCATGATGAAGCGCTGGCCCCCATCTACAACCCAGCTATGATGAAGCGTTGGCTCTAATCTACAACCAAGCCATGATGAAGCCTGGGTCCCCATCTACAGCTTAGCCATGGTGAAATGTTGGCCCTTGCCTCTTCCAGAGGATACACTGGTCAGGGCTCAGCCTCCAGTTTCCGTGCTGCGAGCTGCTGGAACACCATTTACAGGTGTCCCATAGCCCAAAAGTGGCAGTTGGGTGCTCAGGAAGGGGCTGTGCCTCTCATGGGCTGGGCCTAGGGGCAGCAGGGCCCTGGCCATGAGGGTGCTCGCAGCAGCGGAGGCGGCAGCAGAGGCGAGGCGGACGAGCGGCCGCAGGCCCAGAACCAAGGAGGCGCCCAGCTGTGAAACAGGACGGCCATCTACCGGCCACCGACAAGAGCGGGCCTGCAGCCTGTCCCCGGCGCCAGAAACCGGGCAGGGAGCCCGTTGCTCCAGGGGCACAGTACAACTTTTCCCCAGGCACGCAGCATCTCTCATGGGCACAAAACGTCTCTCACGGGCGTAGTTATCTTGGGGGCGTGAGCATAGGGCTCCAGTGGAGCTGAAACAGTTGCAGTCCTTGAGTATATTTGGCTGGGGTGGTTTCATATGGAGGTCCTCATGGGTACTGGGGAGAAGACCCAGCTCTGGAGTGGGGACAACCCATGGGCTGGATGGGAGGAAGGGGGGGACATCATGCTGAGCCCACAGCCGCTTCGTGCCCCGCTTGGCTCGGCAGCTTTTCCATCTGTATTTTGTTTCTAACATGCTTCTTTTTCAACCTTTCCTCCGCAGTTTATTTATGACGAGAAGGTTTCTTGGTGAGTGTACACAGCAGTGAAGTCCTTTTCTCATTGTTTTTTTCTCACCCTGGCACAAGAGCTGCAAAAGAAGTGGGTTATCAGGGAAAAAGCTAATGAGAGGATGATCACTAGGTGTCTAAATATATACAGACACTTAAATGTTTAAATATCTTAAACATTTACAAATGTCATTACATAGACTGCAGTTGCTATGGTAGGCTAGGAGGGCTGCAAAACCTTTAAAAAATGACTGTGTTTTGCAGAGTTTTGTTTTCAGCCTTTGTTTTCAGGGCATCTCTGGCCTTGGCAGGGGCCAGTGGTAGCTTTGATTTCCCTCACATCCAGGATTATTTGGATTGCAAGCACTAGGGGGAGGCAGGCTTTTTGCAGCACATGTTTGCTTAAACTTATTCTCCCCAGGGAAGCGATGTTTTGCTTCACGGAGGATTTCTAAAACACCAAGTTTTGCAATGGCCTGTTTTGCTGTTTTTTTGTTTTGTTTTGGTTTTGTATTTAAATAAAATTGCACCGAGGCCCAATTCAGTTTGACCACGTCCTCTGCTAAAACACATCAATGAGAATGCTGAGGGCTGAACTGCCAGAAGCAGGGAGGGAGATATTGGTATGGTCCATGCAGCATCTCAGATAAAAGCCTTCCTTAAAGGACTTGTGTCCCGTGTGGCTTAGTCTGCAACAAGCTGCACACGGAGGATTTTTGCATAGAGCTTCCTGTGGGAAACCATTTCCTCACCCATGTCCTCTCCTGGGGAAGGATTAAGGCAAGCAGAGAGGGTTGAGCCCTTTTACAAATTTTTACAGCATCCAACAGCATCTGACCGGTGTTGCTTTGGTTTGCAGGTGGGAGTCCTTAGTCCTAGTGCTGATGTACGCCATCTACATCGTCATCATGAAGTAAGTGCACCGCAGCAGGCCGGACGCTCCTGTGTCACTGCCTGGTCACCCACCACACGTTTAGCTGTCACCCTTCTAGCCAGAAAGTCAGGATCTCCGTTGCACACATCCGAGGACCAGACGTGTAACGTGGCAGCGCTTCTCTGGGGTGACTTGGAGAACTGAGTTGTCTCTGAGTCCCACCAAAGCAGCCACCTTCTGAGCTGGCCACTGCTCTTCCCCTGGTCTCTTTAGCATCTCTACTAAGAAATAAAAGCGTGGGGGATTGCATTTGCTTCCCAAAACCCCTCTGCAATTCCCTGCTCCCCAGGGAAGTTGTAGTGCAGCCCACACTGATTTCTAGGCATCGAGGGGTGAGGTGGAACAGCCCAGGCTGCTGCTCACTCCCAATCCCTCCCACCGTGTTTTCCGAAGCCAGTGGAAAGGAAACCCAAATTCAAGCTGGAACATTAAACAAAACCTGCCGGCTGCTAGACGCGCCAGTGGGTCTTGTCCCAGCAAGTGCGATTAGAGCTGTGTTGTGCAGCAATGAGCAGGGTAAATATTATGAGAGCAATTCCCAGTGCGAGAGGCAAGGGGGGCTGGTTTGCAGGGAAACACAAGCCCAAATGTGTCTTCCCCTCACGCACGCAGCGTCGTTGCAGTGTTGCCGTATTGATTTATTTTGTGGTGAGCGATGCAGGGGCTGGCCCAGCTGTTGCAGAGCTGCTTGGAGGCAGCTGGGGAGGTGGCTTGGCTTGGCTAGGGACCGTGGCCTGGAGCGAGCCACCTTGGCCTGTGAAATGCATAGTGAGGCCTGTAGCTCACATCTGTGCTCAGAGTGAAATAAGAAGTGAAGATTTAGGAGGTTGGGCGTGGTGATTTTTTTACAAAGGCCGAACTTAGCATATGGTCTGTGGTTGCTTTGCTCTGGCTTTAGGTTGCTCTGGAGGCAATGCAGCTAGAGCTGCAGCCTGGTCTAGCTGGATTTCTGCAAACCAGAGGGCTTTCCTCCCCACTCTTAGCTGGGTCATGGAGGCTCTAACTCAACATTACAGTTGAAGTGTGTTTCCTTCGCCCAGGTACAACTCGACCATCCACCACTGCTTCGAAAGGAAGACCAAAGGTGCTGCCAACATGGTGAACGGGTTAGCGAGTAACACGGAAATGGATGATAACAGCAACTGTGACGCCACGGTGGTGTTGCTAAAGAAAGGTAACTGTTCCAGTAAGTCACCCTACTTGTTGCCTCCTTCTGCGGGTTTTATCAAGCGGGTCCATCAGTTCCATGGTGTGGGAAGCAGTGTCTTATTAGCAATGTCGTAAGAAAAGCAATAGCTCTTTAGCAAGCCCTCTGTGCCAGCAGCCTGATGGCAAGGTGATGCCATCCCTTTCTTATCAATGGTGTGTCTGGTAGAGCAGCCTCTTGCAGCTTCAGGCCATGCACCTCCAGCTGGATTCAATGCATTTAATGCATAAAGCGGCATAAACTGAACAGAGGGATAAGCATGCTTAAGCCTGGGTATGTGTCTCCACAGGAGAAGGAGGGGACATGGCTTTGGTGTGGGTAGGGTGCATGGTGTAGAGTGTGGGTAAGGTGCTTTCACTCCACCCACCATCTTCAACATGACAAACTTTTCCACATAAATGATCTCCACTTGGTGGAGATCATTTGGTTACACTTTGGTGCAAATCTTCGTCCATTTGATTTAAATCATGACCCTAAACTCAGGCCTTCCTTGGTCGCTCAGGTCTTCTCAGGTCCTGCAGGAATACGAGCACACGGGGCAGTTTGGGCTATGGGATTTAAGCTTTGACGTGCTCAACATGCCTCCTGGTGCAGCCATGGCTCAAGTTCTGGGTTTCTTTTTGAAAATTTACTCACTGGAGAAAAGAAGGCAAGAGCTGCAAGAGTCTGTAACATTCATGATAGCAGGAGGGTAGTTGCAGTTCCCACCAGTGCCACATAAGAAATGCCAATTGGAAGAAAAAAGTCCTGGTTAAAAAACACTTGACAGTTTCTCCTGGATGATTAGGAAAGACCCCACATGTTTACATCTACTCCATGGAAACCTTTCCAGGCAGAAAGGCTGGGAGGATGAGGAGGATGCTCTTCTGTAGGCTGAGGACATAGCAGTAAATAGCAATATCATGAATCGTGGCTAGTGCTCAGCACTGGTTTTAATAAGCTGGTAACAGAAGGCCCAGCTATGTCAAGTGTCCCCACTGCCAACTTCAGCTGTGGCTTATCACTTAAAATCCTGTGTAGCCTCCAAGCACAGAAAAAGCCCTGGGCTTGACCTGGAGTGTTGAGAGACCATAGTTAAGGCTTTGACCTCATACCTGTGCCCCAACTGGAGTTTGTTTCAGCTGTCTGCCCTCTGTGTCCCTTCTCCTTCGATGGCTCCTGGTAGGTCACTCCCAGTGAACCAGCAGGCTGCCAGATTTTGGTGGAAGCAACCATCATCTTAACACAGGCCTTTGATGAGGTGTGGAGTGGAGATTGAGCTTTGTAATAATGAGCATGAGTAGAGGCACCCTATTGGTGATTTATTTCAAAAAAAGAAATTCCACCTCAAGGCAGAAATTGGGACAGAAGAGACATATTTTAAAAGACAGTAGCTGAAGGAATGGTTTTAGATGGGCCCCCTGGAATGCACAGATTATTCTTCAGAAACCTTTGTGGGATCTCGAGAGGCCTTAATTTCTCCATGTCCCTTGGCTGCAGGGAATTTCCACCGCAAAGCCTCAGTGATCATGGTGGACGAGCTGCTCTCTGCCTACCCACACCAGCTTTCATTTTCCGAGGCTGGCCTCCGAATAATGATAACCAGCCACTTTCCTCCCAAAACCCGTCTCTCAATGGCCAGCCGCATGTTGATCAATGAGGTATGTGTTATATCATTTATATATACATACATATATATTTATCTCTCTCTCTTTCTTTCTGAATTTGCCCCTTCCTACAGCAGCATTCAGGTTGAAATGGAATTCAGTAGATTTGTGGGATCCCAGGTGGAATTTTCCTAGAGTTGATCTTTCTGGCAAGGGCTCTGCTAAATCATCTATTGATATCAGCCCCATGGAGACTTTAGTAAAGAAAGCTATAGGTGACCCAGGCTACACTACCTTCAGCTATTACTTGCAGTAGGTACCCACAGTCTTGATCTGATGTTGATATTACTTGCATTTATTTTACAACCTGGTATTCCACTGAGTCTGGCCCGTCATCTTGGAATCTCCCTATCTTGAATCTACACTTCTTGGTATGTCTCTTTCTCTCCCTCCTCGCCTCTTTTAAAAAAAAAATCTTCATTTCAGCAAGAATTTACCTGTGTTTGCAGAGACAAAGGCTGATCAACAGCAGGGCTTACACCAATGGTGAGTCAGAAGTAGCAATCAAAATACCCATCAAGCACGTTGTAGAGAATGGCACGGGGCCAAGCAACTCCAGCGAGCGGGGCATGAACGGCACACGGCGAGACGAAGACGTGGCTGAGGCCGGGAACGAGACGGAGAACGAGAACGAGGATAATGAGAACAACGAGAACGATGAGGAAGAGGAAGAAGAAGATGACAGTGATGACCATGAAGGGCCATACACGCCTTTTGACCTCCCCAGTAAGAAGCTCCTGGGTTTGGGTTGTTCCAGAAAGCAAAGCTTAGGTTGGCCATGCCAGCGAGCATCAGATGAGCAGACAGCGCTTGGGATACAGAGCCCTGGCCTTGGGTGCACCCCAGCTCCTGGGTTTGCCCCATGGTCATCAATCTTTCCCTTGTGCTGTGCTCCTGTGAACAACTAGTGCCCTGTCTTAACCGCTTGCACAGCGCTTAGGCTGAGAGCAGCCTGGCCTCTTGCTCAGGAAAATTAAAAAAAAAAATCTGAAGTGTGCTAGACTAAAGTAGATCAAAATTATGATTTTTTTCCCATTTTTTATTTTGCAGCTGGTAAGACTGAAATCCTGAAGTGGCTCTTCACGTGGCCGTTGAGTTTTGTCCTGTACTTCACGGTGCCCAACTGTAACAAACCCCACTTGGAAAAATGGTTCATGGTTACCTTTGCTTCTTCTACCCTCTGGATCGCCGCTTTCTCCTACATGATGGTGTGGATGGTATGTGCCCACTAAAGCAGGAACCACCCCTACACAGTTCTAACAAAAGGCAAAAATGAATGCCATAGCAGAAGACATTTATTTATTTTTTAATAACTCTGATTATCCTGAGCAGGAGATGAAAAGTTAGTTGTTTCCTCCTGCTTTTCGTCTGCGAGGATGAGGTGTTTCCAAGGAAAAGCTCTCCCAGCTTTCCATAGCTGGAACACGAGAGTCTGCAGGGTCACTGTGTTGCTTGCAACATATAGTTGGCATTTCTTGTGGCATGCTGAGTTCAGGATAGCATGGATCGGCACGGACTGAGCTTTTCTCCTTGCTCTGTGCAGCTAAATGCAGCTCATAGGAAATCTGGCATCATTCAGCAAAGGCCTCCAGCATTTCAAAATACAAATCAATTCAAAGAGCACTAATTTATCATAGACTGCATAGCAAAGAAGCAAAAGGAGATAAAAGAATCTCCTTTCTGCAACAGGGAAGTACTTGCAATATCTAGGGGATATGTCCTGCATGTAGTATGCTCATAATATAATTAACTAAGGGGTTGTTTTAATGTCTGTATGCAGTAATGTCTTTAGTGTCTTGTACGTGCTAATGCCTTGAATCATCAGCCATGAGGAGGAGTTCTGTTGCACCCAGTAGTTGGCCTACATAGAGCCTCTTTTCCAGATTAACGTCCAGAAAATTATGGATGAAAATGAGTATATAGCAGGTCAGTACTATCCTCTGCCAAGTGACCAATATACCAAAATAAATAAATAAATAAATAAAACTGTTACTGCTGCTCTCTCTTAAAAGGAAGAAGGAAGGACAGGTTAGGCTGACCAGTAAATCTTGCAATGCTGGCCCAAGCTGGTCTATGATTTTGCTTCTCACAGACACGCTGACATTTGAATTCCCCTCCGTAGGTTACGATCATTGGCTACACCCTGGGCATTCCGGACGTGATCATGGGCATCACCTTCCTGGCGGCGGGCACCAGCGTGCCGGACTGCATGGCCAGCCTGATCGTAGCCCGGCAAGGTAGGCGCCCTGCCCTGGGGTGTGCGGGGGGCATCTCCCTTCCCGAATCCAAAACCTTCGCAGGCCTTTCCACGGGGCCGAGATTTAGAAGGAAGAAGAAGAATTATGTTGCTATTGCAAAGCAGGTAACACCGAAGTGTTTTGGCACTGTTGCCAACTTCAAGCTTTCCCCAGAAATTCACAAGTGTTTTTTTTCTTTTGTAATATCAGTTTTGTAGAACTGTATAGAACACTACGTAAGCACTGGAAAACTTTTTTTTTTAAGGAAACTTTTTCTTCTTTTACCTAATGGCTTTTGGGCCAGATTCTTTAAGAGGAAAAGAAAGTTGGGAATGCTGCTTTGGGGGATGAAGAAGATGGTTCTTCATGAAACATGTCAGTCAAATTAGAATAACTGAAGAGCGAATCTAACCGGTCTGATACAGAAACTCATGGTTGCAATAAAGCACCAGAATCAGCAGCAAGTGTGGCCCAGAGAGAGAGCCAGCAGGCCCCTGCCAGCAGAGCCAGGGGTTCAGGGGCCCCAGGAGTAGCTGAGGAAGTCCTCAGATAATCATAGAAAGGGGATCCATCTTTTCCTGATGATGGACTGTAGGATGGGGAGAGGGGAAAGGAAGAGACTTAACTCTGTGCTTTAATCCATGGAAATCATCTGGATTCACTCAGATTAGCATATTCTCATGGGTGATTGTGCTTGGTTTCTGTTCCTGCAGGTATGGGGGATATGGCTGTGTCCAACTCCATCGGAAGCAACGTTTTTGATATTTTAATTGGCCTAGGCCTCCCGTGGGCTTTACAGACCCTAGCAGTGAATTATGGTTCATACGTAAGTCCTATGCTCGGTTGCATGATATTTTATTAATTTATTCTTAAACCCAGGCTTTTATATCCACTGGTTAGATCAAATTTTGTAGATCGTATTTGAGGAAACAAATAGTGTCACACTGCTATTATTTAAGGGAAGCAGCAGTCAGTTTTCAAAAGACATTCCCCAGGTTTTGGAGTGCATCCATCTCCTTGAAGGCAGGATGTGTGCTTCAGTCTGCACTGAAATAAGCTAACTCAGCACGTATACTGCAAAGTGGTGCACTGGAATCTATTGCTGATAAGAAGAATAGTCCTATTTTTAATGAGATCAAGGGCTAGAACACACAGGTGAAAAGTAAAGGGTCAGAGCAAATCTGCAAAGTTAGTGTTAGTAAACTGTTAACACTGGAAAACAGAGGAAGCTATTAAATAACCAGATTTCAGAACCTGACCACCATTAGAAACCACAGCACAGCCTCCTCCTTTGAGAAAACCAATGCCAGCAACAGTTCCCAAATTAAAAACAAAAAAGCTTCTTTAGCTCCCAGATGATAAAACAACCCCACCCCACACCTGCAAAGCTGTTGAAAGTTTTGTTCCAAGAGGGAAGAGTCAGAGAAGGTAGAAAATCCCATGGGGAAGTGAGTATTGCTATTGCCAATAGCTAGACAACACTCGGCACAGGACAGAGGAGAGCCAAGTCACAGGCTACAGAATCACAGAATTGCAGAATATCTGAGCTTGGATGGGACCTCTGGAGCTCTTCTAGTCCAGCCCCTCTGCTCAAGCAGGGTCAACCACAGCAGGTTGCCCAGGACCACGTTCAGTCAAGTTCCACCCATCTGAAAGGATGGAGACTCCACAACCTCTCTGGGCAACCTGTTCCAGTGTTCAATCATCCTCAGAGTAAAGAAGAACACCTAGAACGCCTTAAATGGTCTTAAACGTTTTGATGTTTAAAAGGTACCTCCTGTATTTCAATTTATGTGGATTACCTCTTGTGCTACGCTGGATCCCGTTGAGAAGAGCCTGGCTCCATCTTCCTTGCTCCCACCCATCAGATATTCATGCATGCTAGTAAGATCCCTCTGAGTGTTCTCTTCAAGCTGACGAGTATCAACATCCTGAATCCAATTCCCTGGCAAGCAGGAAACCTACCTAAAGGACAGGTGGCATCAGCAGGTAGGGTCTCCTTCCCTCAGAGCAGGGCACAGGGCTAGGAGTGAAGGCCACACTCCTCGTAGCAGCCTAAGATACAACAACCCCATGGCAGAAGACCTGGAGGAGAGCGGTCAGCATGAGGGCACCCTTTTGACAGAACTAATATTTCAGTTTAGTTGGATGACGTGTGAGTGCACAAGACTTCGGGACTGAGAACAAAACAGAGAGGAATGCTGTAGGAATAAAACCCCTTTCTCTCATGAGTAGCTCATCCCTATATTTGTTACATTTGTTTTTTTTTTCCTTTTTTTCATTGAAAAGGATGCAAACAAGTGGCTGAGCAGAAGCAGCCAGCTCCCATGGAGGCCAAACAATGTCGCTACTGTTCCACACACCCAAATCGCTCATTGTGCAACGTGCTCACGTGGCTCCAAAACGCAGCCCTGGAAACTGCCCCAGAGTGAGCAAAGAGAGCGTCCGTATACAGCCCGCAGCTCTCCCTCCAAATCCTTGGGTAGCTGCACTTCCAACCAAAACAACCCCCCACATTCGCATTAATACCAATCAATTATCCGAAGGATTATTCTGCTGCCGTGGGGAATGCGGTGGGTGCAGGTGGCAGGGCTAGCAGCAGCCCAGGCTGCTGTCCTAGTGAAACCTCTCAAACTCCAGCCAAGCAGTTTGCACCACCAAAGTCCACAGCTAAAAATCACTATTTGCAGCACAGCTGCACCAGGGTGTAGCAGGATCCCAAATTTGTCTTCTCTTACAAAAGAGGAAGTCCCCAAAGTCACAATGATTCTCCCCCCTTATAGACACAAGGAAAGAAAAGTAGAAGTATATTTGATCGTGATTGCTTTTGTATAGCCCTCAAAAACCACGATTGCTTCTCAAAAATGTTTGACCCAAGGGCAAAGGATAGGTTTAGTTTGTACTTCAGGGATCGGGGATTAAGGTGGTTGCAGTTAGGTTTTGCTGAAGGTGCAAAGTAAATACAATTTAATAAGCCAATTACAGTTATATCTTTCCTGAAAGCCACAAAATGAGCAGACTGCATCGTGTGGAAGTTGAGCCTGGGTGCAGGACACTGCTGAGAAGCTCTGGGCATGGGGATGTCCCTCGGGCTCGCATCACATTGGGAAGTGCCACCTAAGAAAGAGTGAGTGCTCCCCTGGCCAAACCACACTGGGCTCAGTTCACATCATCCCAAACAAAACAGCTTCCTCACAGAAAACAAGACAAAAATGTTGGCAGCCTCCATGTTTTCCACAGTGTGATTTTGCAAGGCCGTGTTTTCCTTTGAAAGAGAAGAAATACACCGGAAAGTCCCTGGATAGCTCAACGTGGGGCGAAGACAGAAGAGACCAACTTCATTTATAACGGAGAGACTAAAACTGACTAGTAGGGAAAAACAGTGCATCCACAAGGCACGGAGGATGCAGCAATGCAGCAGCTCCTTCCCACGGAAACTCCTCCGCTTCTTGCTGAAGACCTTGAGATATCCCTCACCTGGAGGGAGATGCCCTCTGCATTGCACAGGATTTATGTGCTCTGCATGATGCCCTCCACGTTTGCAGGCTTCGTACGCTCTGCAAAGGGAAATATGAGGTACGGAGCAAACCAAGTTCTTTGTTTGAATGTGCTTCAGCATCTCAGAAAAGGTCCAAGAGGAAAGTGCCTCTAGACAGACAGGAATGCAGCATGCATCCTGAATCCAGGGGTTGCTGAGACTCCTCTCCCATGGCAGGACCTGGGGAAGGCTGGATTTACAGTGAATTTACACTGTTGGCCAAGAATACTGAAAGCCAAAGATCCCCAACCAGACTGGAGACCTGATGCTTTTGCAGCTGGGGGCTGGAAGCTTAACACAGGCCTTCTAATGTTCCCAGCTGAGGTAATTTCTCACTTGGAGCCTGAAGCAAAACCAGTCTGGATTTTGGCAATCACTCCTTGTTTTCCCTGCAGCAACTGCCAAAAGAGAACGGAAGAATGGAATCACATTTATTTTATTTCCATTATTTTTCCTCCAGCTTTTGCTTCAGCCTCAGTTCCTTCTTGCCTGCAGGAGCTGGAGTCTGCAGCCACATCGATGCATTTGCCGCACCAGAAGATGGGAGATGGATGCATTGAAAGCACACGAAGCAGGTTTTGGTCTTCCAAACCTTCCATGTATGATCAGTCTATGCAGAGAGTTCGCCTGGCCTGCTTTAGCTGCTAGGCACAAACCAAAGCTCAAAGGAGAGTTTGGGAATGCAGATTTTTTTTCTCCTTGTGGTTCTTCCTTTGCAGACAGTTCTCTCTTGCGGAAGAAGCATTTCCTATTTTCAAGTAAACAGAGAGAATTGAGCTTTTGCTTCCATGATGAAGCTTCAGCTGAGGCCCCTTCTCTGTTCTTTGCTAAAAATTGAGGAAACTTCCCCTCCCTTACCAGGAGTTTTGAAAATTTTGCAAGCATTATTTTCCTGGAGCATAGACACCTCCATGTGCCCTGCAGAAAACTGTTCCATTGCCTTGTGCAGGAAATACTGGTTTTCCCACGAGGGATTTTCCTCGTGGGAAAACCAGTAGCAGCATGGGAGGCTGCTTCTGATTTCCATCCTGATATGACAGATTGACAACACATTTTTCTTAAGCATCTGCGCCAAGTTTCAGTCTTCCGAGCTCCTGAGCTCAGGCTTCTAGGAGTCACAGTAGGAAATAGGGCAGGCTGGAATAAAAACAAGTTACCAGAGTCATGCAGACAAGGGCTAAAAGAAGGGGTTGCAGGGAGCACCTCGAGCATATTAGCAGGTAGGGGGAATCAGAATACTTTACACCCACGTTCTTGCCGTGATTCAGCCCATGTCCTCTGGTTCATCCTGCTACAACAGTTAAATGTCTTCATGCTCCGTGCCAGCTTTGGTGGAGGGAGCAGTGTGCTTGTATTCCAGCTAGTGGAGGATGTTTGCTGAAGCCCATCTCCTTCAGCTAAGGTCACTGGGGACCCCTCAAATGTGGGAATACCTTCACTTGTGTCACCTTCAGAGCCCCAGTGCCGCAGCCCGCCAGATCCTGGGGTTGCAGCTTCCCGTGACACTTGCTGTTGAGTTTTGTCTGTCTCTGGAGAACACATCGCCGTGGTGGCCTGAGAGCATCTTGCAGATGATGTCTCTGTCAGTCTGGACCACCTTTACACTTGGCACCCGGACAAACCGCACAGTTGCTGTTGCGTTTTGTCTGTCTCTGGAGAACACGTCGCCGTGGTGGCCTGAGAGCGTCTTGCAGATGATGTCTCTCAGTCTGGACCACCTTTAGACTTGGCACCCGGACAAACCGCACAGTCCCAGTCCTCCTCTGAACATAGGCTGTGAAGTCTGCAAAGGTCTTGAAAACTTGTTGCTCCAAGAAACCTTTGAGCACAGCTCTCCTAGCACTAAGAGCTCACCAGCAAGGCTTCTTTACCCAATGAATCGCACTTTTTTTCTTACAGAAAATCCAGCTGTGATATGTTTTCAGTCCAGTCTTGCAGATAGGCCTAAGACCACAGCCCCAGACAACTCTAGGTTGCGTTCAGACATTTTCCATGCTAAAATAATTCCAGCTGCTTCATTCGCTTCCTCTTCCTGTGAATTCCTGTGCGGTTGGCACATTTCATGCGGACGGTTTTTGCAGATGCTGGGCACTCAGTAAGCAGCCCAGCTCCAGAAGAAAAGCCAGACAGGAATTTGCTGTAGAAGAGGATCCGTCTTTCCCGGCCAGGTGCTGCCCCTTTGGGCGAGGAGGAGGCAAGTGGAGAGCTGGGCTTAGGCTTGCATTTTGCAAGATGATTTTGTTCCTGCTTTGCCGATGCAAGCCCTGGTTAGCGGCCCTGCGCGGCCCTTGGGGATGCGCTGAAGCTGGATGAAGCACGGTGCACTATCTCTGTAGGGTGCCACAGGGCCCCTGTCTCTGTCACAGGGCCCCAGAATGAGCTCGTTCTGCCTCCTTGGCATACCAGGAGACACGAGATGTTGAAGGAAGGACCGTCTGGACTGGAACATGATGCATCTCTCTGTCCGCCCCAAGGGAAGCTCTCGTTTCAGGAAAGCTTTGAGGTTTGCTCAGGACTGGTATTAGAAGCTGCAAGGGAAAATGGCTCTGGAGATTTCTTCCATGGCTGCAAAAATACATTCCTTCCCTTCTGACCTTCACAATCTGCGCTTTACATTAGCAGTGGGATCGTTACAGCCTTTCCTCCTGCAGTTAGGCACGCGGTGCCAAAATCGGCCTTCCCGCCGGGAAGCAATCCAAGTCCTTGGTCTCTTCAACAGTCCGACTGGCGATGGGGACATCAGCGGGTGAACTGGACACACGGGCAGTGATGCCAGCCAGCACGGGTGTCCCAGGAGCCCAGGCTGGTGACACGAGGGAGCCCGTGGCACTGAGCAACCCACACGTCTCGTCAGTGCTGGAAAGATGAGCACTGAGAAGAGGCCCATTATGCACCACGTCCTGTTGTTTCCTGGGCTGATGCTTGAGCAAATGTCATCGTAGCACAAAATTCCTCCCTGGATTGTTTATTAGACTAGGAGGAAATCCAGCTGTTAAAAAGGAAAGAAAACATGGGTTGTGTGAGATGGATGAACTTCCCTCCTCAGAGTTACATTTTTCTCTGCAGATCGTTTGCACCAGCAAACAAAGGCTTTTGCTCTTGCCTGTTTGCAGCTGCAGGGCAAGGTAAGAGTTTGATACCAGCCTGTTGAAGGAAGATCCCTGTGGTTAGCTGGGCTGTTTGACCTCCACAGCAGAGCAATAAGGCCTGAGAACCTACCTGCACTACAGGAAAACCAAGGTGGCCAAAGAAGCAATAGCAGCATCCTCATCTGAAGCATCTTTGGAACCTAGTCATACCCCAACCTGTCTGTAGGCCTGTGTCACATAAGCCCCTATTTTAAAGGTATTTAGAGTTTAGAGATGCAGCTGGTCATCCTAGTTTAGACTGCTGAGGCTCTGAAAATTGCAGCTTAAAGCATCCACCACTTTATGGACCCTTATCAGGCATTAAGTGATGACTGAACATAAACCTTCCGACTTTCCACTCAGGACTCAAGTAGGAGTTAAGAGGCAGGAAGACCTAACTGCACAAGGGGTGAGGAAGCCCCTGTGGTGGTGGAACCCTGAGGTGCTCTCAGGTCCCGAGCTCTCCTGGCCTTCAGCGACCCTCTTCTTTTGGCAAAAGGGGGTAGGCAAAAACAAACGGGTGATTTAACGGGCTGGCCTGGCTTTCATAGCTTACCTGGATTGTTAGCAGTGGGAATAAAATGTTGCTTGAAATTATGGCATAGTTTTACCAACTTCCTTCTTTTTCAGATTCGGTTAAACAGCAGAGGACTTATCTATTCTGTTGGTCTCTTGCTGGCGTCTGTTTTTGTCACAGTACGTATCCAGTCTTTTGTTCTTCATTTCCCATACAGTGCTTTTATGGATGTTTTCTTCACATTTTTCTTTCTTGCTTCTCTATGTAACAGTGTTTGCAAAGTCTGGTGTTGAGGGATAGAAGCAGTGAAATGTTCCTGGGGAAACCAAGTGGGGTTGTTCTTGCCAAGATATGCGGTTCCCTGCAGAAACTCCAGGTTGTTGGGCCAGGGCTTGAGGCTCTGACTTACCCCAGCTCTCACTATCACTTCTCATGCTCCTGCCCTTGGGAAGGTGGTGCCCCGTGTTCTTCCAAACGCTCCTGACATGGCCCACTCTCTTGTCCTAGGTCTTTGGCGTCCACATGAACAAATGGAAACTGGATAAGAAGCTAGGGTGCGTGTGCCTTTCCCTCTACGGCATCTTCCTGTGTTTCTCCATCATGACGGAATTCAACGTTTTCACCTTTGTGAACTTGCCCATGTGCAGAGATCACTAACGCGGGTGGCAGACTGTCGGGAGGAACGTCCCTCTTACCTGTGCAATACAAACCACGGCTGGCATCTCTGCAACACGGTGCCCCTCCGAGTCGTGACGTCTTTCCTGTTCACTGTTCATAGGACCCTCGGCCCCGTCTCCGTTTACCCGCTCCCTGACCACCGCAACCTGGAAAAATCCTGCATCGATGTGAAGATTTTTTTTTTTCAGCATTCATGTGATTTCCTAGCTCCGTTTTTGAACAGTGACTGGGATGCGAGATCAACTGGCTGCTAACTGGCATCAAGCCAGGCAAAACTGGTCTGCTACAATTCCTTCTTTTTTAAGTTATTTGATGGAAGACTAATCTAATTTATGACTTAAGACTATTGCTAGAACACAGAAGAGGGTACATTGTACGGGGCGGATTTCCAAGGAGAATGGTGGGAATATTGTGGTCGTTTGGGGTTTCGGGGGGGTTCTTTTTTCGGTTGGGAATTTTATTGCCAGCAACCAACAGCCTCTCTTGCGGCTTCTCCTGTGGAGTGCTGGGTCTCCTGCAACGACCTGACGGCCACGGGGCAGCGCGTGATGGGAATTCTCTCCAAGGTACTTGGATACAAGCGGATTTGCTGCTCGCAAAGATGGGCAAAGCACCGGGCAGGGATTTTTTCCTGAAAGGAGTGGATCGCTCGCAGGCACACGAGGTGAGCACGGAGACACACGCTGCCGTTTTCCTTACGGATGTCGGAGTGTCGTTGTTAGGCTGTCGATGGTCTTTTCCAAGCAATAGTTTGAACGCCAGCCCCGGAGGGCTGCCAAGGAGGAGTCCTGGTCTTCAACCATCCACACGTGGAGACGAAAGGTCAGAACCTTCTCTGCATCATGAGCTTTCCTGTAGTTTTGGGGGGATTCAATAGTTGCGACGTACTTGTTCTGAGAAGGACATGAATACGTCTCAAAACTTTTTTAACTGAGTTACAGACACTGGTTTCTTTAAACGGAAAGAGGCATATTTTGCACAGACATAGTTACTGAAGTCATAATTTGCCACTCTTTAAAGAATACACTGGACCTGGCCAGATATTTTTTCTTAAACAGCTGAACTTTACCTGCTAACCGATCGTGTGGACTTGTCACACGTCCTGCGGGAGAGACGGAGGAGAGATGGCACTTTGAAAATGTGGAATACCTTTAACGCAGACTTGCTCACAGACCTAAGTTATTGTGGAAGTTTAGCTCTTCATCACTCCAGTATCCCCGCTAGATTTTGTATAACGCTGTATTAATACGCAGGCAGTTTCCATCCCATGAGAAGCGCCGTCACCGCTGCATTCGTACGTATTGATGCTGTGGATTCTTGCCAGTGCTGGCTGTTGTATTTACTTTGAGCACTGATCACTTCTGGTTCATTTGGTTATGATTTTTTTTTCCTCTTTCTTGTATATGTTCTACTGCAAAAAGCATAGTGAGATACTACCAGCTAGGCGAATGTTTTTGTCTATGGTACAAACAGTGGCAAATATTGGTAGTCGAGGCACAGTGAACCCCAAGTAAAAAGAAACAAACAAAAAAAATCCCTTAACTAAACTGTAACAGGAAAAAAACCTCCAACCAAAAAAAAAAAAAGAAAAAAGCCCCATTCACACCCAGCAAACTGATTCCTCAACTCGTTTGCACTTTTGCACTTGATGATTTCACCTGAGTTTTCTTTGGGCAAAACGATGTAAAACAGATGGTTTATCCTCCCCTCAACCCCCACGCGTGGTTCCCCTTCAGCTCAGCACCTTATTTTCCACCTCGGTCGCGCTCGGCGCGTGGGAGCGTTGGCAGCCGCTGCCCCACGCGTGGAGGGCGAGTCCTGGGGAAACGCCACGTGCTGCTCAGCCCCGTGTACCTCCTCGTTGCTTCTTCCAAGGAGGGAATGCAATGAGTAATAAGAATAATAACCACTAAAATGCCTGAAATACTTCCTTAAAACCAACAGTGTTAGCAGCAATGTGGCACCCTTCAAAAAAATCCACCCGCAAAGCACATGTCTGGGATTTCCCAGCTGCTCCTCAGCGGAATGTTTCCTTGCTGATGAAATGGATGGATTTGGGGAAGGGAAAGAAATAAAATAAAATAAACAAAATAAAATAAAAAGTGTCACGTCAGGGCCTATTATTACTTCTATTTTTGAATATTTATACTGCTGCTCCAATGGAGCCAGTTGGATCTATTTCTGCGAAATAGCTGTTACCTATCCCATGGCACAAAAACTGCATGAGTATTTTTAAGGAACTTTTCCTATTTAGTGTGCATTAAATACTGTCGTGTGTTGTAGCTTTGCGTTGTCCGTGAAACCTGAAATACTTTGTCTCGACGCGCGTGTGCGGGCGTGCGGAAGCCGCCGTCGCGCGCGGTCCGTTCTGAGCAACGTGACGAGCCCTTCCTGGCGGGGCAGTTTCGGGGAGTTCCGCTCACGTCCTGCCACCAAACGGACCTGGTTTGGAAGAGAAGAGACCGGTTGAATGTGCGTTCACTGTTTGCTCCCCCAAAGGGAGGCCGTGGTGCCCCGAGCGGAGGGAGCGGGGCCGAGGGACCATGCAGGAGGAAGCAAGAGATCCTGTGCTTCAGGATCTGGGAGAAAGTGGGGCAAAGTGAGGTGGGATTTTATTATTATTATTATTATTTTGTTTTCTTTTCAAAATGCCTGCAGTTTGCTTGGGTTTTGGTTCTTCTGAAAGGGTCACCTTCAAGTCGGAGGCCAATCTCGGGACTCGCGGAGTATTTTTGTTTCCATTCCTGGCGGTTGCAGACGATGCTTAATGAGGGTTTCCAGGGGAGATGAAAGAGCCTTTCCCTCCGGGGAGAGCGCTTCGCTGCAGCTCCAGCCTTGACCTGATTTGGTTCTGCCTGATTTTAAATTCATGATCCTGCGCTGGCTTCAGCTCTGCTCCGTGTGCAGGGAGCCTCCCTTTGGTCCGAAAGCCCCGAGAATCTGATCCGTGAAGGTCTTAAGACATGCTAGAAAAGTTGCTTTTGTCCCTACCAAAGTTAAATTTTGTATTTTTTTCTTTTTTCTTTCTCTTTCTTGATTTAGTGCACTTTTTGGCACTGCCACCAGCATCTTAAATGCTGGTGGGTGAACCAAAAGCATCCTCCTTTCAGAAAACTCAACGTTCAATTTAGGTAGAGCGGCCTGAGGGCAACATTTAACATACTGCTGTCAAAACCAGGACTTTTATACGTCTTTTCCTAAGAACTGTGTTAATACTTGTACGATAAAATGTCGACTGAATATTGCTGAATACCTTTTTAGAGAAGCTTTCTGATGATTGACAAATATTTCTTGCACCCAAATCTCCTCGTCCTTTCAGATTAACCTCATAAGGATGTTATGGGATCAGATGTGCCCATCCCAAAGTTGCACTAGAGGAACTTTAAATTGGTTCAAAGATACACTTTAGAAATCCATCTCAACGGGCGTGCCTTAGGTTTAGGTTCCTGTAAAATAGAATTGAATCTGGGCAAGAATGTCCACATTGGGGTTTGTACAAGTTGAACTGAATCAGTTTAAAGCCACCCTTTTGAGGAAGTTTGAATAGAGCCAAAACTGAAGGGTATTTCATAAATGCATCTCCTTCTACTCAAGGGAAGCAAACGGTGGTTGGCTTGATCGTTATTTGGGGAATGTTCTTTGGCTGGGAGGCCTGTTGCTCACCACCCCGAAATAGCCTGAGATCTGGGCTCAAGTTATCCAAGACTGGACATAAGCATCTAATTTCAGGAATAGCTTTTTTTTTAAAGAAAAAAGCACAATTTGTGTAAAGCTCCAGACTTTGTAGTGTGTTTCTATAGCTAAAATAACTTTGTGAAGGCTTATTTTAGGTATTTTTTTCAATTTATTTTATTTTTTCTAATAGCCTAAAAAACAAGTTTTAAAACTTCCACACACCAAAAAAAAACCCAAAAAACCACCCCACAAAGCCTGTCACTATTATCTTCTGAGATTCGAATGGTGCTAAAAATCAACATGGGAATTTTTACAACATTTCTCATCGCCTGTCAATAGCTGGTTATGGGAAGCAAAGCTTAGCCCGGGCCCGCAGGGGCAGCCGTGGTAGGAGGTGCAGGTTGGCTCAAGCGTTGGGTTTCTGCCTTTGGGCTTCTCCATGGGCACGTCCAGCAGGTGAAACAGGTCGGGTGGATTCCCAGAGGCGTCATGCCCCTTCCTGGATGTTTTGCTGCTCTCATAGCGAAAGAAGGGGGCTCCTGGTACACCCCACCTCTCTGTTTCTAATACTTCCCTGCTAACATGGGCTGATACTTGTTCCTTCTCTTGTAGTAAACACCCAGATCTCCCTTGAAGACCAAGTATTACTTTAATCCTGGTCAATGTGGCCTCCAAGCAGATAGACCTCAGCATGCGTGAGGAAGCAGCAGCTCTGTTGGCTTCCTTCACATAGAAACAGAAGTTTGGGGGCAGGAGTTACCTGCAGAAGTGTTGGCAAAGGAAGAGGGCCAGCAACATGAGCAGGCTTTAGTAACCCTGGGCATGCCACCACCAGGCAGCTCTGGAACTAGAAATTCCAGGAATTCCTAGGAATTTCTTTATTTCTAGGAGTTAGAAATGAAGGCCTCTGTGCGTACATGGTTTGCCCGAGATGTGAGGCCTAGGAGCCTTGGGTTGCAGGAAGGAGAGTGGCTCTCAGGAGACGTGATGGGAGTTGTAGTCGCCGTTCGCCGGGAGCGAGCGCCGGAGAAGGGTCCAGCTGAGGAGAAGCTTTGCTGCAGAAGGGTCCATCTTCTCCAGGATGGCACCGAAGGGAGGTGGTGGCAGAGCAGGGTGCCTGGCAGTGGCCACAGAAATCAAACGTGGCCCTTAGTACAGGACCAGCTACCTTCCCGGCGGTGACAGCCCTGAGTCACCTCTTCCCGTTCAGCAGCTACGAAAAGTAGCAAGAACTGAGGTGTAGGGAGAAGGGAATCAGGCTGGGGAAGGCAAGGGAGAAGATGCATCTTCTCAAACACTTGAATGAAGAGGGCCTGCATTTTCCTCACATATCTACAAATACTGACACTGCCCTTCCAGCTCTGTGCCAGAGGACGTGCTTGGGAGCCATGTCCACCCTGCTGGGCCATTCTCTCTTGGCTCGAGGTTGCCACCTCTCCTGCAGAGCACGAGTATCTGGAGGGAGTCTAAGCATTTCTGTGAGCAGCTTCTTCTAGCAGCACAGCTGAGCACCAAGGACACACCTGCTCAGGCCCTAAGTCCCATCTTGGGCCTAGGAGGTCTCCTGATAGAGCCTGAGAGGTGAAGGACCTGCAGATACGGTCTGAACGTTGGGAAGCGCCAAGGTATCTTTGTGGAGAGCAGCCCTCCGACCCCGCTTGCTTGCTCAGGGTTTCATCAGGCTCCCTGCCTTACAAGGACTCAGGATTTTGCCTCTGTTTTCTGTCCCACAAGCTGAAA